CTTTCGCGGAGTCAGCATTCCATTCTTTTCTGACTTGGTTCTTATCATTCTATTGTATTCTTTTTTTTGTTGTTTGTTTAGTCAGGATTTCATTGGTTTCTTACTCAATCAGCATTCCTTCTATGTATATATATATTGATTCGGTTATCCTGTAGTGTGAGGAATAATCTAGGGAATAATGAATGTATTTTAGATTCTATTCTGATGTTATTGGGACATAATAATGAAGGCAGGCCTACATATTGGTGCACTAGCTCGCGTGTTTCACCCCATCGAAACACAATTACATGAAGATTCAAAGAGTATTGTTTATAGGAGAGATATTCGTTATTTTAGAACAATTTTTAGATGTTCTTCTCCTGGATTCGATCTTCCTACCTTTCATACGCTGTATTTCTCCAACTACGCATTTTCCCATTGCAGTAAATTGTGCAAAAGGAATTCCTTTAAAATACGGACAACATTTATGTATAGTATAGCTAGTAATATGTGAGTGATCACGTGTAAGGACTATTTAAATATATACGTAAGTGTCACACTTGACGAATGTGCCTACGTGAATGGCCTTCATGTATCATCATAACTCGTAGTTTCCTTTCGTATAATTTAGTGCAATGGGAAAATACGTAGTTTGAGAAGTACAGCGTATGAAAGGTCGAAAGATCGAATATCGGGTTACATTCATGAATCATCAACTAAATAATGTATTACTTGGTGAAGAAAAACGATTTAATATGATTCCAACATTTCTAGAAGGAGATGCATTATCTTGGAATTTGAAGAACAAAATCAGGAAGCTTTTTCGTGCAAACATATTGCAGTGTTCCTCCCCAGTGTCTACAATTTCAAAAGCATAAAAATAATAACATTGAATTACATATTAAAAATAAGACATACATAATCGACCACGCTGAAAGTGGTGGCAATATTTGTTATTGAAAAATTTTATATTGAGAAAATTGTTCCAAAAGCGGAAGAAGCATGTAGAGACTTTCTGATATAATTAAGATGTAATTTTTGTGACTTTCTGATCTTCTCAGTTCTTCTCACTATCCTGACCTGATTTTTTCGATGACGATATATTAAAATATCATTCGAATGCCAGTAGTTCACTCTAAAATAAGCGTGTTCTTCATGTTTTCAGAGTTTAAGATCTCATTTAACTTTGAAATATGAAGAACTTAATTTCTATTTTTCAATAAAAAATGAGTTTTTCACTCATTTCAATTTTCCCGCTCATTTTAGTTTTTCCGAAATTTTGTTTTTCGAGATTCGAAAAACTCAATATTTCTTTTGAGATCTCTGAAGATCTCAAAGTTGAAAAAGGAAAAGAAAATCGCATATTTCAATCACCGGTTTTGTTTTGCGATTTCTAATATATATATAGAGACATCTTTTCTTACAAAAGCTTAAAGTTATTCTCAAAAGGTTCTATTTATGTACAACAATGTGCACATTTCGAGAACATGTTTGTTCTTGACGATAGAGCTCTAAAATTCGAGTCGAACTCAACGAGTCGAGTACCTACGATGTTTGAAACCTGATTCGACCGGAATTGAATGAGGTTCCAAATGACGATCGAGTTAGGATGTGGGTTACATAGTTTCTTCTACTTGTGCAGGTTTTCAGTTGACAATATTTATAATGAATAAAAGAATGATTCTACATCTGATCAGAGATGTCGTATTGATTAGAAAAAAGTTGGCTGAAGAAAAGATGAATTAAGACCCAGATGTTTGAAAAAGTTGAAGAACAGAAATGTGTTTTTCGACCTGATGCTTTTTGGAAAATAAATGTCCCAAATAGGGATCTGAAAAAATGAAAAACTCAATTTCTGTTCTTCCGGAAAATGAAAAAATTAGTTGTACAAATTTTCAGAAAACTCCCATCAGATCCCTATTTGGGATAAATGAAAAACCCAATTCCAGTTTTCTGAAGAAGTCCTTTTTTTTTAGAGTGTTATTTAGATTCAGATAAATGTGTAATGATATTTGCTAGATTTAATATCTACAACATTTGTTATCACTCTTTATTATAAACCAAAGCTGGAGTGTCGGTTAGTTATTTTGTTGCTTATAAAGACGAATCAAAACTGACATTTGGAAAAATATTCGCCTTCTTTTTAATTACTAATGTTGACTTCTATGTTTATATATACAAGAATAAAAGCAAAAAGCATCGCAAATTATATAAAGGATTCTGTTTTTCATGAAAGTGTCAAAGACGCTTTAGATCTGTATTTTTTTGTTTTAGAAAAAAACCATGTAAAACAAAAATCTCAGGGTCTATATAGGTTATATTATTCATCATAGTATTGTTTTTGAGACAGATAATTGTTTAATTGTTACACTAGTAAGTCGTCTAGATGAACACGACTAGTTTTATAACTAAACTTATAATTTGTGCTTGATATGCACAGTTCATTGTATTGCACTAGAGTGAAAGTACTTTCCTACAGTTCAAGCTATGGTCAGCCAACGATTTGTTGAAATCTTTTGTTGAGTTTTCTCTTTCAGCTCCTGATTCAAGTGAACCAAAGCTTGTAGATAAAAATTTGATGGGATGAATCAATGGCCAAATTCTATTGATAAAAGGAATTCAGATAGATGTCAGCTAAAATCTTTTACGACAAAAAGTAAAGCTGAATATTTGAAATGTAAAGAAATCTTGATCTACCGTCTCTTGAAATCTGCACTCTTTTCTACACTTCTAATGTTGATTTCGAAAAAATTCATTTTCCGAGTAATGATTCCTCACATTGTGCTCTGCATCATTACCAACAACGTCGGGGATATCACTTTAAAAAAGCTGATCTAAAATCCTATAATATTTAAGCTATTAGTCTTCATACATATTAGTTGCGGTTGAATTAATATCAAAAGATAGATTCATAATCGGATCAATCGTATTAGGAAAATCAGTATACATTAGTATTCTAACAGACCATCTTCATCCACGTTGTTCAATCAGTCCCGATACTTCTAGATGAAAAACTGAAGAGAAAATGAACGCAGAAGTTCTTGCAATGATTAAGGATTCTTATCGAAATATTAGATGAACATAATTATTCTTAGCGATTGCCGTACCAATCAGCAGCAACAAATTGTTTCTTTTTGTGAATGAATTTGGTCCTCATAACTTGTCTCTGTTAAATAAATAACAGAAGTCTTTTTCCACAGATACAATCTGTATGGTTGTTTTTGTTCGGTTGATAAGAACTTACATCATCACGATGCTGCTTAACAAAACGGTTTAATGAAAAGAAGTTTATATTGCTGCATCCCACAAATGGGCTATGTCAACTTAGACTAATGATCTATGCTTGATCTATGAAATGATCTATGAAATGAAATATTACAAAAGAGTTTTCACTCATTCCTTTGACCCAAGCAGAAAAATATCGGACGATCTAGCTAGCTAACTCAATATACTATCCGATATAGTCAGCTGGCAATTCGAATTAGGCTATTTACTATCGAGCGATATAACTAGCTAACACGACCCATTACTAGATATAGCTAGCTAGCCCAATACGTAATTCGATATATCGACGGTCGGATAACTTACTTTTTTCTTTTGCAGCCACTGTACTATATATGTAAAACAGATACTTCACAAATTTACAAAGTATTTATTCATATCAAGTCAATATATTGACCAATAAATCGGTCGAATATCGGGGAATATTGCTTTCTGTAATATATTACAGGAAGCAGGATGTCTTCATAGAGACATCCCGAGATTCAATGTAGATAGCATCGTTCATGCTGTCAATACAGAAGTCAATATACCGTGCAATGATCGATCAATAGTAGTTCAATATCTAGTGCATAATTGGATTGGACATTATCCAAACAATATACCGGGCAATAATTGGTCAATATGTCTACTTTCATAGTTAGTGACGCAGTGGGATCAGACACTGTCCGCTATATACCGGGCAATAATCGATCAATATATCTACTAAATAGCTACTCTGATCAGGGTTTTTCGTCAACCCGATATATCGGGTACGATAATATATTTTTATAGCCAGATATTCTCAAAGACATTTTTTTGTTTAGGGACAATGTGTGATCAATTCAACGCTTGTAATAAAGTCATTTGAGCGAGTGACGTTACCTTCATACAGTTCAAGTCATGGCTAGTCAAGGATTTGTTGAATAGTCACTTAGAAGCCTCTTTTGTTGTCTTTCAGCTCCTGATTCAGATGGATTCTGTCAATTGTTTTGCAAAATTCCACAACCCAACGAAAATCATTAGCTTACCTTTGAAATAAAGTTGTATTTTGTTGTAAATAAAAGTATATTCTTTATCGATCTCTACTTCAAAAGTGCTTTTATAAAGTTATTCATAATTTAGCCGTAATTAAACAAAAAAAGGCCGAAGTTTTCATGTTAAAACGTTTACGTTTAATGCTTGCACTACGCGAGCAAAATTTCTTTGCTTCAATATTTTCTTCCCGCAACAAAGGGCTAACGTAAGTAATTAACAACTTACCTGAGTTGAATATGAATATTTGGGTAGTTGTCTGTCATTGTACTCAGCGATACAATAGTAAAATCTTTAAAACTTTCGTCTCATCTACAGCATTATACGTTACATAAAAGTTTGATCCGTTTTAATACTTACACAAACACAAGTAAAATAAACGTAAACGGGATAAAAATAAACCGGAACGATTCGACTATTTTCCTCATATGCATTACCATGTCAAGGGTTCTCACTACATTCTATTAGTAACGAAAAAATGCAAAGATAAGATCTTTATTCTCCTGTATGTGTAAAGCTATCAGATTTCTTGATGTTTATGAACAATCGTCATAAATAAGTGTCAGAAAAAATAACTTAAATCATTCTGCATATGCTAATCTATTCGATAAGTGCGAATACATATCAAATATTTACTAATTTCTTTGATTTAATGGTCTTTTTGACACGATTGAACAGTTTTTTGTACTTTTTCTAATGATAGTGACAATTATTTAGTCGATATCATAATGAGCGAGCTATTGATGAAGAAATTGAGACAACAATCAACTCAAACTGAATCCCACTGTGACATTTACGCTCAAAAATCTCCACGTACTTTGTGCGGGATAACATTTGAGAAATGGCTGAAATATAGTATTGCGCTTCTTGTGCCACTCACCATTGGTATATTGACAACTGTCATTACTGTGCAACAAAATTATGCTAGCGAACATAATCGTCTCAATGATCTTGCAATTGCCAATAAACAACGAGAGCAAGATGCAAACATTTCAGCACAAGAACGTCAGCAAGCAGACGAATTAAAAATGGATACGTTATTAGCGTCATACATAAGAGAGATTGGCGAATTGTTTCTGCTGGAATATCAAAACTTTGCCGATGAATATAAATATGGTCGATTATTATTTGCACGAGCAAAAACACTATTGATATTAAGACAAGTAGATGTTAAACGACGACAGTATGTCATACAGTTTTTATATGAGACTGGTTTGTTTAGTAATCGAAATGATACGATCGATTTAAAGAATGCTAATTTATCGGGAATCAGTTTTTCAAAATTTAATTACGATTGGACTGATGTACGTTTGACATACGTATGTTTGACGGATTCATCATTTGAGGGTATCAATTTGACAGGAGTGAATTTCACCGGTTCAATACTCACGAATGCTAATTTTCGTGACACTATCCTGAAACGATCAGTGTTTATGAATACTATTTTAACAAAAACTGATTTTACTCGATCCAAATTGATAAATATAACATTTACAAATGCCGATTTTACAGATGCAATTTTCATTGAAACTCATGTTACTACATGTAGTTTCGCTCGGTCTACATTTGTTCGTGCCGACTTATCGTTTATGAAGCTTGCTTATTTAAACCTTTTTGAAGAGACTACTAGTATAAGAAATACAAATTTTACAAAAGCAAAATTGATTCAAGCTGATCTTTTAAATGCGGATTTTCGCGATTCTACATTAATCGGTACCGATTTACAAGCATCAAAATTGCAGCGTACAAATTTTATCGGTAGTGATTTAAGTGAAGCTAATTTATTTGGTGTAAAAGAAGTTTATGGAGCCATATTCGACAATGTCAATTTGACTAATGCTATTCTTCCTGCCGTTCAAATGTTGTTGACTAATGCTATTTTACCAAATGGCAGTTATGTATATAAAAGTTTTGACTTTGGCATGACGGATATGTTCAACAGTAGTAATATAATTTTGAATGGTGATGCTGAATGGGATCGATGTATAAATGATACAGAAATAATAACCAAAAAATTGCCATCAAAATGGTTGAAATCGTATTCTGCGCTTACGGTTTATCAGTTTCCATCTGTGATACAATGTTCAAAAATAATATCAACACATGATGGTTGTTGTTTTTGGGGAGGAAAGTCAGATCGTTTGAGACTATCAGCTAATCAGCTTGTTTCTACCAGTAATTATTCACGATTGATTGATTCTCATCGTGCTAGAATGCTATTATCGGCATTGATGGGCGGCGTAAAAAATGAGAGTGACTATATATATATTCAATCAGAATTTTATGATGGCCGTAGTGTGAACTTGGGTGAATCATTTTATGTCGGTATGTTCTGTTGCATCAATAATTAATTGAACTATTTTTGTTGTTTTATTCCAGAAGAACCATATAATAAACGTATCAATCGTACCGGTCTACTTTCCTTCATCAGTAGCACACAATTGATACCGAGATTCACACGACAAATCCGTATATCATTGTGGTTTCTTAAGAAGAGTGATGGTCCTTATTCTGGAGGTATTGTAGATGATATAGAACTGATTATTCTGCCTGTTAACAATGTGACTGGTGATCAACGATTGTTGTAGCAGAGATTTTCTCTTATCATTAATATCGATGGAAATTTTATTGTCTATACAATAAGGACACATTATAAAGATTAAAAAGTATACTGATGATATTTTTTCAAACTGAAATGAAATTTCAATGAGTCATTACTACTCTCAATTACAAATCTGCATGTTTGCTCGCTTACGAGAGAACCTTCTCAGGTATAACCATCCTTTTCCAATGCAATCCACATAGATCGATTGCATACCTAGTGGTAGTAAAAAGTCTAAAAAGTTTTATTCACAAAGCTCATCCTTCGAAAATTCGAGTCATTTTTCTGATTTTCCGAGCGCAAATTGGCTAAAATAGAAAACGTCATATCTCAGCCAAATTACATCGTATACACTTGAAACTTCTACATCAGCTAGAGTCACACAGATACTCACTACTGCAAAAGTCTCAAACCTGCACTAGTTTTACTTCTTGAGATACAAGATTTTTTGTTATGGTAGAGAAAATAGCATATACAGTGGGTAACAAAGTTATTGACCCACCTTTATTTTTGATTTTCCTCGTCGACCATAATAGATAGAAGGAATTTGAAAAGAGATTTGGACACCTGAAAGAATTACCAGTCTAATTTGATGTATATAAAGGTTTCATCGAAAGTTCTGAAGCCAGGATCTCTGGAAAACTAAAATCTTAGAAAACCAAGTCCCGGAGTTCGATCTAGAAATTTTTGGTAAATAATTGCATCATACAATAAAGTCTTCTAATGGAAACGTAGCTGTCGCACTTAAGTTTCCGGCTGAATAGTAGAACGTAGTGTTGATGGAGGTGAAAGATGAGAGTGTGTATTTTGTAAAAGTAAGTTTTAATATTCACTAAGAAATAAAAAGAGTACATGTGCACATTCGAGAGAAAAAAGCTTTTTAGATATCAAAAGCTAGAAAAAACTGTACAAAGAGAAATGCTTAAGTTGGTTATTGGGCCTCATTGCTAAAGAAGTGGTTTATAAACTCCCATTTTATTTATAATTTTAGAACAATGCTGGTTCTAGTTTGGGTTAGATCGAAGAATAGAACCTTGTATTATCAACCAACATTACCTTTTCTAGACGTTGAAAACATCTGCACAAATAGTGCTATATAAAAGTTAACCAGGAAAAATACGCGATAAAACTAGTGCAAACCTAAGTTTTTTCTCTTTCTCTTAAAGAAACTTAAAAATCTTTTTTCTCCGACGTATTCATATACTCTTTCATCGGTTTCGAAGCTAATCTGCTCGCGAACTCCTCGAAATATTTTCAAGAGGAAGACCATGTAATAAACGAACACCACAAGAAAACCAGGCGAGAAACGAATTAAGATTAGGACTGAAAAATGATATAAATATTGAAATAATACGATACAATAATAGATTACCTATTATCGTTTTCAAAAAGCAATGTCCCTGACTAAATTTTGAATAACTCCCCCATAGAAAGAGATATCGATCTCTGGTTTTCGCAGATCGCTAGCCAACACTTTTTTGCATATAGCCATGCAAAAATACTCTCAAAAAATAAATTTAAAGTCGGTTTTCCAAGAGGATCTTTGGAAAACCAGCTCCATTCTCGGAAAACTAAGATACAATGTTAGTAATCTTTTTGCATGTGTAGATAGTCAGCTGAAGGCCATAGTCCTACGTTGGTTAAAAATATCTTCCACTAAAAAGCCGTCTTTATTTCTATTCAAGTTTTTAAGTAAAGCCAACCTGATATTTGTAATCAGTCTCAACTTCTGCACCGAATGATGTACAATTTCAAATAAATTGAAGAAAAACCTTTTCCCATGTTAGGACAGTCTTTATATACCTTCAATAGGACTATCGATTGCATGCAGTCAAACCTTCCCGGCTTTTAGCTCATGTAATACTGGGGGGACCTGTGCGGAAGTACCCGACTATTCAAGTTTTTTTTTTCTCACTAAAATCATGCACAAATGTGATCTGTTCACTGAAGGAAATTACATAGCTGTGAAATCAAATAAATCTACATTTCGTAAATATGCCGCTGATAGTATACACCAGGTGCCTGTGTGTTTGTTTATGGGATAATATATCCAGCGTATCACAGTTGTCTGCAAGAGAACTATAATACACAACAGTATTGTAGAGAACTGGCGTGGTATGTTGGTATAGCGGGTAATTTTATTACGGATGTTATTTTACTAGTTCTAGGCTTATTTGATGAATTTATCCGGAATAAAATTTCAGGTGTAGCGCTTCTATACAGCCTATCTGGCGTTGGACTTGTTTATTTAACACTTGGCCAATTTTTCATACCTAGTTCCATTAGCATCCTTAGTTCTAATAATGCTGCATCAGTCAGCAATTCATAATAGCTCTTTTACGACGACCTCTTTCTATCTCGTTCCACTTGTTTTAAACCTAATGCAGAATTGTTCAGTTTATTTTGTGTTCTTGTAACGCTTTTGTATGTTGTAAACAGTGTCCAGATTGAGTAAAAAGAACAAAATCAAGACCAGATTTTACGTGCAATGTGTAAGCATGAAAAAGTGATCTTAATCATGAAGAAGTCTTGTCGTTTCTATGATACTTTTTTCCCGTTGGGAAAAATGCGTCTAGTGCATATGAAAAGTTTTTTGTTTCTGCTAGATGCTTCCGTAACTTCATTAGACGCATTAACGGGTAGACTCGCAAAATATCAGTTTTGATATTGATAATATTTTGATGTTGTTTTGGTAACGATGCAACATAAATCTTGTATGCTTTGCGATAGTAATGGCATGCTTGACAGTAGTCTTTATTAAACTCGTGTACTTGTCCAATTGCACGATATGTTGAGCCAATTAGAGGATGATAGATAGGAAGTAGTTTAAGTCTTATGTCCAAAGCTTTCTGGTAATTGGTTATTGATGACGCTGCATCATCCATTGATAAGTAAACACCGCCGATATTATGATAAGTCAGTGAGGTATCGACATGTTCTTCACGCGTTAAATACTTCTGCTTTAGAAATAAAGCTTTTCTATGATAGAAAAGAGCTAACTCAAATTCTTCTTTTTTTATTAACACAT